GAGCTAGCTCGAATAAAGACTCTTATGCTTTTGCATCAGACTGGCTGGCTCCCTGATGTGGTTTCTTGGGGATCCTGAAATCTGGGCATAACAAAACCATCCCTTATTTCCATCCTAAGCTTTTAAAGGCCCTGTCGTCCTACAGCTAGGAATAGCTGAAAATATCCCTAGAACAACATTTCTAAAAGTGGGGGCCTGGGTCATCTGCATCAGAATCATTGCTGGGAAGCAAGTTAAAAATGCAGATCTGCCCTGCTGGTGTGGCTCAGTGGTTAAGCATCAACCTATGAACCAGGAGGTCACGGTTCAATTCCTAGTCAGGCACATGCCGGGTGTGTGGGCTTGATCCCCAGTGTGGGGGTGTTGTGCAGGAGGTGGCTGATTAATGATTCTCTCTCATCATTGATGTTTCTGTCTTTCATTCTCTCCCTTCCTCTCTGAAATAAAAAAATAAAAAAAATTTTTAAAAATGCAGATTTGTACCCCCCCTCCCACTTAAGGAATTAGCATTTGAGGAGTTTGTGATTTAGCACCCCAGGGTATTTTTATGCCAACTATTCTAGGTCAGCGACTCAGTAGACAAGTGTTCCTTGGACACAAACTCTAACCAGATTATTTCTGGTTTGATTAAGCACTATTATCTTAGATAAAGGAAAAAAAAAGAGGTGGTAGAGTTGGGGGAGATAAACTTAGTTGGGACATTTGATTTTTTTTTAATATCCAGAATAGAATATTATGTACTCAAGTTGAAATCATGGATAGGTCTGAGGTCTAGGTACAATTTGGAGATTATCTATGGTATGGTTAATGCAATGAAAAGTGAATGAGTGCTCTTAGGGCCAATCTCAAAATTGTGGCCTAAGAAACTTCTTTCTAAAAATTAAAAGTACAGACTAGGACTCCACTGCACACCACTGAATCAGAGGCTCTGCAGTGGGGCTTAGGAAGCTCCATTTTCAATAAATTTCCAAGCTGACTTTCTTGGTGTACTGAACTTCGGGAATCATGACTCTAGGAAAAGAAGGAAATTGAGGATGAAGCTTTGGGGATGACTTGCATTCATAAAGAACAAACAGAGGAAGTGCTATGAAGAAAAGATACTTAAGAGGAACAGTTAGCAAGGAGGGGAGTCCCCCCAAAAAACTGGTGTAGCAAAATCCAAAGGAATAGAGAATTTTGAGAAAAGGCCCCATCAAAGGCCACAGCGAGGTCTAAGGCTTTGCTATAGGAGGTGCAGCTCAAACAGCCCCTAGGGATTGTTGCGATATAGAATCTTGGGCCCTATGCCAGCAAATGAAATCACAATTTGAACAAGATCCATACGTGAGTCCAATGCACATTTAACTTTTATTTGTATTTATTTTTTCACTGAAATATATTTGACACATAACAATGTGTAAATTTAAGGTGTAAAATATGTTAATTTAATACACTTATATATTGCAATATGATAGCTATTGTAGTACTAGCTAGCATCTCTATCATGTTGCATCACCGTCCTTTCTTTTTAGTGGTTGGAATGATTAAGTCTAATCTCTTAGCAAGTTTGGTGATTATAATACAGTATTGCTGTCTATACTCACTGTGCTGTGCATTAGCTATCCAGGGCTTATTTACTATTGTTTGTAAGTTTGTATCCTTAAACAATATCTGTACTGACCCCTCCGACTCCTTCCCTCTGGTAACCACCATTTTGTTCTCTGTTTTTACAAGTTCGGCTTTTTAAAATTCCACATATAAGTGATATTGAGACAGTATATGGACGTGGGCCCAGGAATAGGACAATACCAGGTGATGTCAAACTACTGTTCTGCACGTGCAGTTGCTCAAGGTTGGCCACTATATATATGACCTTCCTGGGGTGGAGGAAGTGAGTAACACCAAAACTATCACAAAATATGACATTTAAGTTAGAAAGATTGTGGATCAAATGATGTATCAAAGTTTTTTTTTCTTAGTAAGGAGATACTCTCAATCAAAAGAAAACTGGTAACATGGTTTCCTTAGGGATTCATACTGAAAATAGCTGCAGATAGGATTGTTAATTTCATAACAATCAAGTGATATTAATAAAATATTCTTGAGAAACATAAAACATATCCAAGTGTCTTGCTTCTATGCACATTCCCTAAGAAGTGCCTAATAAAATAAATGAGAATAAGCAATAGAAAACTTTACAGGTCAGCATGAATAAACAACATAGTAGATGCTTTTCTTAAATTAAAATAAAGTTTTAAATTAAAACTTTATTTTAATTTAAGAAAAAGTAATTTAAACCTTAAACTATGATGATGTTTGAACATCAGTTGTAACACATTAAAAGATTGATATCACTTTGGTTCTAAAGGCATTATTTCATGTTGTCCCAAATACTCACAAACCTACTTGTCTTCCGAAAGCATAGTAAGAAATTTTTTTCAAAGGTGTGATTTATTTTGTGAAAATGTGCAGAATGTCTGTACTTGAAGATCCACTGTAATGACTGGTTATTGTTAGACAGACAGGAGCAGAGCAAGATGATGGGCCCAGGACAGAAACACCAGGGCAGAAAGCCCCGGAGGCCTAGCAAGGGCCCAAACTGGGAAAACAAGAGCCTTGTCCTCAGGGTGACCTTTCCTCCCCTAGCATATTGCTGGTCCTGTGGTTTGGACCCCTGACCTTTCCTCCCGAAAGATAACATCTAGGCCTCAGTTGTATTTCAGCTCCAGGCCCAGGAAAACAGCAAAAACAGACAAGTGATGCCATGGCTGCCTAAGGACCAGCTACATTTGACTAATGTGCCCCTGCCCTGGCACCAACCAGTTAGTGCAGAGCACAGCCTGAAAGAGTACACCTGGAAAGCTGATGAATATTCTATTGAGACAACCCCCTGAG